CTTTATATGGATATCGTACATTGTAGGATATGGTTTGATTTTGATTATCACCATGCACAATGATTGAATTACTACCATCGATCATAACTATAATAATCATCATCATTAAAAATAATTGTAGTTTCAACATTTTTTTTCTTGACCAAAAATGAATCAAAAAATTGAATCAATTAAATCAGATTGAAAGAATTTCTCCCTCATTGAATTTATAATAAAACTAAATAATTATTCTAATAATTCTTCATTGCAGAAAATATAATTCGATTTTTAATTTAATTTACCTAGTTCAACTACCGAATCGCTACACTATAGTAAATTAAGAACTTTTTTGTTTTGTTTTGTTTACAAATTCCATTCATATTTTATTCAACAAAAAACAAAATTCGATAAATTATAATTTTAAAAAATAAAAATGTTTATTTAGTTTCATTGTTTTGTAAAAATAAATAATTTTTTTTGTTGTTGTTGTTAAATGATGAATTAAATAAGCAAATAATTTATTGAATGTTTTCGTTATGTGTTTTGTCTCATTAAAAATTTTGTTCAAATGGAAAAACATTCATAACTTGATTGATTGTATCTGTATTTTGAATTACATTTGCCGTTTGTTCTAATGGATTAGTTGAAACTCCACTACTTCCAGTTGCTGTTAAAGATTCAGGTGCTAATGATGTTCTTGATTTTGTAAGATATGTTTTCTTTTTTGCTGGTGTTGGCATACCTTGACGATTTAATGTTTCACCAATATTTAATCGTCTTGTTTCAAAATCCGGTAAATCAGTTATTACTTGTGAATCGGATTTTGGTTCTCCAAACTTTGTTTCTAAAAAGTCTTTTGCCGCTTCAAAATCATCTTTGCTTATACGTTCCTCATTAGTAATAACGGTTCTTTTTGGTATATATGGTTGTTGATCACCTGTTGTTGTTGTTGTTGTTGTTGTTGTTGTTGGTTTTGTTTGTTGCGAACTAATACCATCACCAATTGGAAATGGTTTTTGAGACAATGGTTCCGTTATAATTTTAACATCTTCTGAATGTCCTAATGGCTCATCTAATGTTTCAACAATTGCGCCACCACCACTCATATAGGATTTAGCGGATTTAATTGAACCACCGCCACGGCTCACGTCAGGAATATTTGATATCGTGGATTCAGTTGCACCACCGCCACGGCTCACGTCAGGAATATTTGATATTGTGGATTCAGTTGCACCACCCCCACCTCCACCGCCAGGAATATTTGATATCGTGGATTCAGTTGCACCACCGCCACGGCCAGGGTCAGGAACATTTGATATCGTGGATTCAGTTGCACCACCGCCTCCACCAACGCCACCACCTTCGCCCCCACCAACGCCACTGCCACCGCCACCAAAATTTGCTTTCGTGGATTTAATTGAACCCCCACTAACATTTGATTTGGTGGATTTAATTGAACCACCGCCACGGCCAGGGCCAGGAACATTTGATATCGTGGATTCAGTTGCACCACCGCCTCCACCAACGCCACCACCTTCGCCCCCACCAACGCCACTGCCACCGCCACCAAAATTTGCTTCCGTGGATTTAATTGAACCCCCACTAACATTTGATTTAGTGGATTTAATTGAACCACCGCCACGGCCAGGGCCAGGAACATTTGATATCGTGGATTCAGTTGCACCACCGCCTCCACCAACGCCACCACCTCCGCCTTCACCAACGCCACTGCCACCGCCACCAAAATTTGCTTTCGTGGATTTAATTGAACCCCCACTAACATTTGATTTGGTGGATTTAATTGAACCCCTACTAACATTTGATTTAGTGGATTTAATTGAACCACCATCACGGCCACCGCCGCCCCCACTAGCATTTGATCTAATTGATAATTTATCACTTTCAATTGGTGTTTCATTATGATGTGATTTATGAGATTTATTCGAACTTAATTTCTTTGATAATTTTTTACTTTGTTTTTGTCTATTTTATTTTAAAGAAAGAGAGGAATTATTCAATGAAAAAATAATAATAATTTGCATAAAGAATACTACTTACTTATCTTTATCTAATAATGCTGCTGCTGCTGATTTTTTATGTGCGCGAACACAATAATATATTGATAAACCTATACCAATCAAAACTAAAATAGTAGAAATAACACTAACAGCAATAATAACATTTCTTTCTACTAATTTTGTCCATTTACATGACCAACTTTGATGGTTAGAACCAACAATTTTACATACAGCTGTAAATGTTTCACGAGTATTTGCTTCTAATTTTTGTGAATATTCTTCCGAACATTCAGCAGCAATTTTTATTTCACAATCCATTGTATCCCAAACAAAACAACAAAAATCTTTTGTTTGATAAAACTGGATAAAACAAAAACAAATAAAAGTCAAAAAAAAAGTAAATTTTAGCTTCAAATGAAAAATTACTTACATAATTCGGTATATTGATTTCCCATTTTTGTTGAATTGATTGTTCACATTGATCAAATCGTTCATAAACAGATTGATCACAATTTAATGATTTTGGTATACCATAAACAGGTTTATATGGATAATAAATTCTTTGAAAATATGTTTGATTATCAAAAAATCTTATTATCGTACCATCATTATAAGCCATTAAAATATCATTATTTATAAACATTATTATTATTATCAATAAATTTTTAATATTCATTATAATTTTTTTTCAGCGATTATAAAAACAATAACAAAAATTATTCGTCGTAATCGTAATCGTAATCGTTTCGTTCAAAAAAAGAAAAAGAAAATAAAACGAAAATAAATTTGTTATTCAAATTTTTCTTTCGATGAAATTTATAAATAAAATTCCATTCAATTCTTTGGATTGAATCGATTCTTATTAACAAATAAAAAATAAAGAATAGAAAATTTATTGTTATAACATTCGATATTTTTTATTTTGTAATTAATTTTTCATTGTTTTTTTTAAATTAATTATTGTAACTATTTCGACTGCTGTTGTTATTGTTTTTTTTTGTTTTTTGGTAAATATTTTCGCATAAAAAACTTAATTAATTTTATTTCATAATTAAAAATTAATTCCAAAAAAAAGCTGTAAATTTTGGATTTGTAAATTAATAATTGTAAATGAAAGAAAAGTCAATTTTATTAATGAGAATTGTTTTTTTTATTTGAAATTTCAATTTTTTTTATCAAATTATAAATAATAAAATTTGGTTTCTACGATCATCATCCTTTCTCCATCATCAATTTTTTTTTCTTCTTAGAATGGAATTGATTGTAATAGCATTAATCGTTGAACTGTTGACACATCATCATCTGATATTGCTGGTATTGTAGGTTTAGTTATTACAGGTGAAGTTATTTGAGGTCGAGTTATTGCAGGTATATTTGGTGTTGGCATATTTGGATTTAAACGTGTTGGTAATGATCCTGTTCGAACTAAATCTTTTCCTTGCACTCCTTTTGTAAATCCAGTTGGTAATGAAGTAGCTCGTTTTAATTTAGGCTCAGGAAGCATTCTATAATAATAATAATTAAAAAAAATAAAGATTATCAATATTTTCAAATTTGTTTTTTTGTTTTTGTTATTGTTTTTGATAAATATCATCATCATTACTATTATCACCCTTTACTACTTACTTGAGTTTGTTTTTTGCCTGAAAATATTTAATTGTACATCCAGCAAGTAAAACTAATAGACCTATAGCAATAATTAACAAACTACAAACCAAAGCAAATTGATTTCGTGTATTTTTATCCCAAGAACAACAACTACTTTTATAACCACAACCAACATTATTAGCACAAACTTTTGTAAATGTTTCATGTGTATTTGTTTCCAATATTTTTGAATATTCTTTACTACATAATGCAGTTATTTCTATTTCACAATCCATTGAATCCCAAACAAAACAGCAAAATTCTTTTGTCTCATAAAACTTTTGCAGCAACAACAACAACAAAAAGAATTGTATCAAATTAGAATCAATCATTTTTGTTTTTGTTAAACACTAAACTTACATATTCATCGATTGATATTTCCCATTTTTGTTGACTTTTTACTTCACATAGTCTCAAATGATGATATATTGATATATCACATTTTAATGATTCTGGGAAACCAGAAATAGGTTTATTTGGAAAAATTATTGCATCCAAACCGATATGACTATTATTATGATGTTCCATAAGTGATGATGATGAATAAATATTGATTGATATGTTTATCAATAAAATCCAAATAAACCATTGATGACAATCAAACAATTTTTCAATCATAATTCTAGCTTTATAAATAAAATGAAAATAAATAATTATTTTTTTTATAAAAAAAAACCAACACACACACAATCAATTTTACAAAATAAATGAATGTTAAATTTATATTATTTTTTTTTAATTTTTAATATTCTATTAATCGAACCAATTTTTACAACATATTTATTATTTTATTTAACATTTTATTAAAACTTTTAAAATTTGTAATTTGATTCAGTAATTAGTAATTAATTGTTTGTTGTTTCAATAATTTTTTTGATTTGATTGAAAATCCTTGAGATTCATTTGGGTAATAATGGCGTCTATTGTTGTTGTAAATGAAAATTCTAAAGAACATTTGTAAAAATTTCATTAAATAATAATAATAATTACAACAAAAAAAAACAAACGAAAATACTGATGAAATAATTTAATTTAATTTAAAATGGTTTAAATTCTTATATTTCTGCATTTCGTTTTTCAATAAAACATATCTAATTTCAAATAATAATTTGATTTCTATCCCATATCATCTTTTCCATTACAAATTTTTTTTTAAAATGTTCTATCGATGTCCATTAAATTTTGAATTCTTGCAATTTCATCTGCTGATATATGTACTTGTGCTTGAGTTACTACTGGTACTGCTGCTGGTGCTCCTGATAATGATGATGATGATGATGCTATTGATGATGCTGGTGTTGCTGCTGGTGCTTGTGCTGGTGCTCCTGATAATGATCCAGATAATGATGATGATGCTGATGCTGCTATTGATGATGTTGGTGGTGGTGCTTGCTTGAAAATTGGTGCTTTTATTGGTGCATTTATTGGCATTGAATCTGCTCTTTGTAATAATCCTGGTCTTGTTGTTGTTCCTGGTACATTCGCCGATTGAGAATGCGTTAAATTAGCTCTAATAGGAAAAAGTTCTCTTTTTGGTATATCTGGTGTTGGCATATTTGGATCTAAACGTGCTGGTAAGCTTCCACCTCTTTGTACTGTTGCTGTTGTTGTTGGGGTTGTTGCTGGAACAATCATCGATGAAGTATCCGTCACATTAGCACGGCCAAAAAATAATTCTTTATCTGGTATATCTGGTGTTTGCATATTTGGATCCATATGCAATGGTAATGATTTTGATCGCGCTAAAGCTTTTACTTGTGGTGATGTTGATCCCGTTGGTAATGAAGTAGTTCGTTGTAATTTAGAATCAGGAAAATTTGCATCAAAATAAGCTCGACTATAATTAATGATTATTAAAAAAAAATTATCAATTTTTTCAAATTATTACCACCCACCACTCTTATTCACTTACTTCTCTACAGCTATTTTTTTTCTATAATTAATAATTAAAAAAGAAAAAAAAATTATTAATTTTTTAAAATCATCACCACCCCCCACACCACTATTATTCACTTACTTAAAATTTTCCATTTGTATTTTATACGAATTTTCCATATTTTGTATTTTTTTATCTTGATATTTTTTAAAATATTTATATCCACATCCAGCAGCAACAGCTACTGCAATAAGAAATAGAACAACACCAATAATAATACCAGCAATCATTTTTGTTTTTTTATCCCAAAAACACCAATTACTTTTATGACCAGTACCAACTTTATTACAAACTTTTGTAAATGTTTCTTTAGTATTTGTTTCTATTTTTTCTGAATAATCTTTATTACATCTTTTTGCTTGTTCTATTTCACAATCCATTGTTTGCCAAACAAAACAACAAAATTCTCTTGTTTCATAAAACTATCAAAAAACGAAGAAAAAGATTATTCAAACAAACAAAAAAACTAGGATTTTTTTTTGATTCATTACTTACATAACTATCGATAGATACTTCCCATTTTTCATGATGTTCAATTTCACATTGATGAAAGTTATTTATAACACTTTGTTGACAGTGTAATGTATTCGGTAAATCATATACAGATTTATATGGAAAACGTATTCTACTCCAATCAGTTTGATTATTACCATGTATTATCAAATATGTATTGCCATCGACTAATAGAATATTCAATGTCATCATCATCGTTATAAGCATTGAAAAACTTTGATAAATCATCATTATTATAAAAGTAATTTTTTTTTCTTCAAAGTTTTCAAATAATAATTATAATTATAATAAGGTAGAATCAAAATAAAATAACAAAACAAACACAGAATTAGCAAATAAAATTTTTCATAAAATTTACAAATTCAACAAATTTTATATGAAAATGTAATCCATTGTTTAAAGTTAAAATTTGATTAGAATATTATTATTTTTTTTTACAAAAACCATTTTTACAAACAAAATTTCAATTCAATTTACTCACAACCAAAAAAAAATTATTTACAAAATTCGTTTTGTTTTATTAATTAATTATAAAAATTTGATAGTAACACACACACATTATTAGTAAAAAAAATATTATTTTTGAAAAATATTCACAGGTTTTATTTGTTCAAAATGGAATATATTTGTAATTTGTGATGTTAAATCTTTTTTCGTTATTGTTGTTGATGGTATTTGTAAATGACGTTCAACATTTGATGGTAAACTATAACTTGTTCTTCTTATTATTGTTAATGGTTTATTTGAAAATTTTATAACATCAAAACCAATTCCTCTTGTTGATGAACTACGTGGTTTAATTTCATATATTAAAGGTGTGTTTTCAGTGGTAGGATGAGGAGGAGCATTGCCATTGGGCGTTACAATAGGAGGAGCTGCATTTTTATAGGATTTATATGCTTGATAACCAAATATTCCACATAAAATAATGGTTAAAATAATTGATATTATACCAATTGCAATAGCAAAATACATTTGTATTTGTGGATTCCACAAACAAGATAAACTTTTATGACCAGAACCAATTTTATCACAAATTGTTTGAAATGTTTGTTTTGTACTAATAAGTAATTTTTGTGAATAATTTTCATTACATTTTTTTGCTATATCAATTTCACAATCCATTGCATCCCAAACAAAACAGCAAAATTTTTTTGTTTCATAAAACTTTTTGGATTCCATCATCATTGAATATAAAAAGAGAAGGATAAAGTTTTTATTAATAATTTCAGAATAATCTGTTTCTGTTTTAACAAAAAAAAAACTTACATAATCATTGATAGTAACATACCATTTATCACGTGATGATTGTTCACATTGATAAAATTCATTATAAATAGTTTCATGACATTTAAATGATCTTGATAGACCATAAATAGGTTTATATGGTAATAATAATGAATACCATAATTCATCGGTATTATTTTTATTTGAATGTACAATATATGTTAATGTACTAGTAGTACCAACCATTTTTATTATTACATTATTAACAAATATTATTAATATTATGATTATTATCGTTAATAAACATTGTGATAATTGAATCTTTTTGTTATATTTGTTTCTATTGTTTTTCATCATTTGTAAAATTACAAATGAAAAAACAAGTGAATCACACATTTCATTTTTTGTTTTGTTTTGTTTACAATAAATATAATCGAAAAAAATTCCAAAAATAATAATGTATTTTGTAATTAAATTAATAACATTACTGATTCAAGAATAAGGCAACAAACAAACAAAATTCAGTTTCTTAATTTTTTTTTTCTCCATAACTTCCCATTATTATCCCTTATAATTTTGTTAATAAATTCATTTCCGTGATTATAAGTTGAACAAAACAAATAAATCAAACCAGTGATTTTGATTTTTGATTGTCGTAGTAGTCAGGCAGTTAGTTAGTTGATTTGATTATCAGCACAGTATATTGCCAATCAGAGAGAGAGATGCTATGATATGCCATGGCGATGATAACGATTTAGCAAATATTTTTGTATCCTGGTTTCAATTTTTTTTTTTGGGGTACTGGTATTACAAGTGGATACCAAAAAATGGTAGAAGTAGTGGCTTTTGATGATGATGATGATAACGAGGATGTTTTGTTGTCTGGGTGTTGTTATTTGTTGATTTATGGTTGATTTACAGTTCGTATGAGTAATATATTAAAGTTATTTTTATTGATTTTGCTTTGATTTTTTTGAAAAACGAATTTTTTCGATTTTTTTTAGCCCACCAATCATGGATTCTTTTGGTCAAGAACCAAGTAAGTTTTCATCATTGTTTGTCATTCGTCATTTTGATTCATTTTTTTTCGCCATAGATTCTGATTATGATTATCCAATTGCAACGAAAAAAAGTATATGGAATTTAAATCGATCGATCAATGACGACAAAAATCAGATAAATTTTCCATTGATTAATGGAAATGAAAAAAATTTCGAATCAAAAAATCAACAGCAAATTATTTTTGTTGAGAAAAAACCAATTTTACCTGCGAAAAACAAATCAAGTAATATCAATCATGAACAGCAACAACAACAAGAAAAATATGCTCAAAGTTTCTATTATGATATACCGAAAAATACACCGATCAAGTCATCTTCATCAACGAGAAATCTAATGACCATGAGTGCATCAACATCATCATTATCATCAGTAGCCACCACCAACAATAATTCTTTAATGAATAATAATCGTCCACAATTACCAAAAAAATCATCATTTGTGCGGAAAAAAATACAAAAAAATTATAATGATGATAATAATTATGAAAATTTACCTGAATCAACTATAAATACATTGAATCGATACAAACATCAATCAAAATCAATATCATCATCAATGATGATGGATCAAACAAAATCATTAACATTACCAAGACCAATGAAAAATATACCAGCAACAACAACAATATCGCCATCTATCGTCAATAAAAGTGATTATAAACCAATGAATTTGGTTAATAATGATGGAGATTCATTATCTTCGACATCGAAAATAATCAATTTAAGCAAAGCTGATTCAGATGATGATGATGATGGTTGTGATTATGAATATGATTATGTTTGTTTAGAATCAAAGAAAAAATTAAATAATGATGATGAACGTATTAAAATATTATTACCAACAGCAAATCAATATCAAATTCGTTATGAAAATTTAGTTATACGATCAAATGATCAACAATTACCTGTGTTACCTGTTCAAAATGATAATAATTTTCAATCGATGAAACAATTTTATCGGTAAGTTTTTTTTGTTTGTAAAATTATTTTATTGAAAAAGAAATTAATTTTGATTATCTTGTGGTTGAATAATATAGCCGTCATGTTTTTGGTGCACAACAAAATTTTCATCAATGGACTGCATTTACAATTGAAATTATCAATCACCATAATCAATATCAAACGAAACCAGAAATTTATTTCAATTTTGTTAAACATATCCTGTTGGCCGGACAAAATCTATTGAATATTTTCAAATTATATTTAAAACAATGGAAAAAATTCAATCATCAACAATCAACAACAACAATGATGAATAATGAATTGGATGAATTTTTTCAACAATTTCTTGATCAATTAAAATTGATTGTTATGAAAACAAAACGTTTAACATTTGTTGCCCATCACCACCAACATAATACAAATGGTGGAAAAGTCATGTTTGATCTGATTGAACAGATACAATTAGCCAGGAAAATGTCCGAATTTGTTAGGAAAATGTTTTGAAAAATAACAGTCACGCTTTTTGTAATTCAAAAAAAAATTAATTATAATTATAATTTTAATTCTTATTATTTTATTTTAATTAATTAAAATTAATTGATAATGATGATGATGATGAAAAAACAACATAATAATAATCATAATTATAATTATAAATGTAATATGTGTTTGTAATGATAAAAATGATGATAACTGATCAGTAATTAAAATGAATAAAATTTTTTTGGTTGTTGCCCGTTGTAGGTGTGCAAAGTATTAAGTCTGTAAACAATTGACAATGAATTGAATGAATAAAGATAAAACACACGACAACAACAACAAAAGGAAACTATTTATCAATCAATCAATCATCATTAAGTTTATACAAATTTTGAAGTGAAGAAAAACAAAGTGTGAAAAAGGAAAAAAATTCTATATATGGTGATATGATGATGATCGAGAATTTTGACAAAAAAGATTCAATGCTTTCTAATCAAATTACATATTTTTTCTCTGTTTTTTTTTTGTTTTTGTTTGAATTCAATTTTAATTAATCGATAATAATGATAATGGAAACAAAACAAAAAAAAATGAAATGAAAGGGTATCATATAGCATCGTATTTTGTAATGAAAACAAAAAAAGTTTGTGATAAGTAAAGTGTTTGTGAAAAGTGTTAACAATAACAATAACAACGACTGTTTGAAGAAAAAAAAAATTCAGGTGTAATTCAGGTGTGTGTGTGTGTGTATGTACAGAATAGCCCTACAACAAAAAAAATTGGTTGGTTGATAGCTAAATTTGGAAAAAAAAACAAAATGGAAAAATTACAAATTTTGGTTACAAATTACGGAAGACATTCTTTCGATAATGATAAATTTTTTTTAACTCTTTCCTTTTACTTCGGAAAAAATCTACTGAAATATCCGATAGGTGTATTGAAATAGGGATTTTTGCTTAGCTAGTCGATGATAAATGATGTTTTAGTGAATATCGAAATGATTTTTGGTATGTGCGTGTGCATGCTTCAATCAAATTCAAATTCAAATGCTGATGACTAAAACTTAGAAAACAGAAATTGTAATAGATATTTATAGAGACTGGAAACAGGAAAAAAATTAACGATAATCGAATGTTTTAAAATGTAAAAAGAATTTTTTGTTTAACGGGCACTTCTTTTTTTTCAAAAAGGGTTAAATTTTTTTTGCATCATTACCATTATATGATCTGGTTTCAATTGCCACAGTGTTTGTTGTCGAAGAAAAGATGATGATGATGATGATTAGGGTGCAAGTGAAAGAGAGGAACCAGAGAACAAAAAAAACCAATCAATCAATCAAATCAGTATCAGAATAGTATTGTAACAAGACACTTTTGCATTAGAATAATTTACATTGAATGAATGCTAAATGATATAACGGGTAAGGTGAGGTTAGTTGAAATGTGAAGGTGAGGATGCCTGAATTAATGAATGAATAACAACTAAACAAACAAACAAAAAAAAAGCTCATTTTATTTTTGTTGGGGAAAAAGGAGGAACGATAGGTAGATATTTTATCGATAAACGATCAAATCAATAATAAACTGGATAATTGAAAATTCTTTGTGTTTGGTTAACCTGACCTGATATAAATGTGCGATTTTTTCCGGATATAAATGAGTGAAAATAGTTTGTTTGTTTTGGTTTTGATTTTGGTTGGCATCCTTATTATTCAACGAACATTGATTATATTTAACACGGGGGGAGTGTAGAGGGGGTCGGAATCCAAAGAATTTTACACAAAAAATCCATTCAAATAATCAAGAAATAATAATTTTGTTTTTTATATCAAGGATAATTATCAGATAAAATCATTATAATGGCTAGAAAAAAAAAGTTAAAAGGGTATTATTTTTTTTTGTCTGATATACATATATATTTCATGAAATGAATAAACTTTTTTGTTTCGACCAGGTAATCTCAGGTAATCTCTGGTTGATGATGATAGTGTGCATCCTATTTGAAATTTTTTTTCCATTACTTTTCTGGGTAAAAATCTGATATATAACTTCGTTGGTTGATTGATTGATGAACATTTTGAAAACATTATTTTGTTTGTTTGTTTGTTTGTTTGTAATATTGTTATGTAACAAATAAAAACAAAAGAGAAAAAACAATCATCATCTTTGTTTATCCAAATTACAATTATATAATCAAATTACATTATTAATGATGATAATAATAGCAGCTTTCCAGAGAGAAATAAGAAAAAAAAACAAAATGAAAAGAAAATTAGATAGATTAGAACAAAGAAACAAAAAAAATGATGAGTGTTTTGACAGAAAGAAAAAAAACAAAGTGAGTGATAAAAAATGATGATGATTCAGGTCAGGTCAGATCAGCTAGAATATTCTTCTTCTTCTTCGTTTTTGTTGATTCTTTTCGTCAAATTCTTTAGAAATTTTGATTCTTTTTTTTCAAAAAATTGTTGTCCGGAAAGTTTTTTCGCTTCTCCACAAAACAAAACAAAAAAACTAATTAATAAAAAAATTGAAAGAAATCGAAGTTTTAAATTTCTGTTTCAGGATTTGTTGTTGAATTTTTTGCCGATAATGCATTTGGATTTCTTGATGGTGTCATTATTGATAATTTCCGACCGGATAATGTATGTGATGATTCAGATAATTCTATTGCATGTTCATTATCCCATTTTTCTAATTCTTCACGACTTAGATGATATACAACACCTGTGTTTGTTGAAGGGGTTAAGGAAAAGGAAAAACGAAAGAAGAAGAAGAGAAAAACAAATTAGAAAAAAAAGGAAAAAAATTTTAAAATTCTGGATGCTTGAATTGAATTTTGCCAAAAAAAAACTATGGAAAAAAAATCAAGCCCAGATCATTCACGCAACACATTAATAGTTAATTTTCTCTGCTTTTTACTTTGTGTTTCAGATAATTTAGTTTATTATGATGATAATTTCGACAAACAAACAAAACAAATGTGAATTGAAAAAGAAAATGAAATGAAACGAAAAAAAATCCATTTTGAAAATTAAATTCAAAAATTGAAACATAAATAATAAATGAATATTGTAGATTAGCTTGACGGTAGATGGCGCGCCAGTGCATTAGTTTGTTTTTGTTACAAAAAATCTGCGCAGATCGAATCAAGAATGTTTCGATTAGATTCGATTTTTGATTCGATTTTTGTTTTTTTTTGGTTGGTTAAATTAACATAATGATAATCAAATTCAGTCTAAATCGATATTCGATCATCATAATCATCATTACAATAAAGTAATTTCTGTTTAAATTGTTGTTTTAGCTGAATTCGATGATAAAGTTATATTCAAAAAGTTACCAATTTCAAAGATTCCAAAACACCAACAACAACAACAACAACAACAACTACAACCTCCCCCGGTTTTGATCGAAGAAAAAAGAAATAACTAACTGACAGCTGAACTCATACAAACGCCAGAATCCAGGATCAACCAGCAAAAACAATCAAAAAGAAAGAAAGAAAAACCTTGATACACACTATATACACACACACACCCAAACCCAAACAAAAAAAAACGACTAATTTAATTAGATATTATATGATCCAGAAACCAAAAAAACGAAAGAAAAGAAAAGAAAACGTCAGAATGCGAAGAAAGAAAGAAACAACAAGAACAACAACAGAATTATTATTAGTTTCACAATTTTGATTTCTTTATTATTTCATATTTTTTACTTGCTTTCTTCATTTCATTCTTTATTTCTTTGTTACTGAGATGATCATCATCATAAATGTTTCAAAACAATAATCATCATTTGAATCATCATCAACCAATGTCGAAAATGATTTTTTCATTTCAGTTGTATAAGGACAAATGTTTGTAGGAGAAAAGTTTTCTGGAAAAAAAACAAAAAAGTTTTCGGAAAAAACCCATATAAATGTGTGTCAGGTACACAGAGAATGAAAGAAAGAAAATTGACTTTGAAGAAAAATTTTCCTGCCATACAGGTAACGCACATCATTTGATATATTCAGATTCTGCTAAACAAGAATCCGAATCAAAACCAATAGTAATATATACAGATAGATATTGTAATTCGGATAATATAATTATATTTTTTTATTTTCATTTTGAATCGGTTTGGGCCCAGCATAAAAAAAAGAAATATTATGTAATAAAAATACACAGTGGGCAAACAACTAACTCTGGTCAACCAAATATTTATTCTGGTTCTCTCTTTCGCTTGGCGTTTCTTACGATATGAAAATGATTCTGGTCGTGTGTGCGTGCGTGTGTCAGGTATGTTATGGAAATGGAAATTATTGAAGCAAACGAAAGAAAGAAAGAAAATCATTTTCAATGCTCATACATATTTCATATACCTGAGTTTTCATAAAAACAATAACAACCAACCAACCAACCAACAGCCTACATTGAAAGAATTTTTGATTGAAAATTTTTGGCAATGTTGTTGTTGTTGTTGTTACCGAAGGCAAAATTTTGATTTTAAAAATAGAGAGATGATGATGATTATGCAAAAAAAAATATTTAATTTGTTTTTTTTTCTGTTCGGGAAATATTCCCGGAAAAAAACAACCGTGTGTGTTTTTTTTTCGCATATAATTCTCGTGAATTTTATATTTGAAAACAAATTTTATAGCTTTAAATATTATGACCAAAAAACAGCAAATGCAAATATTGAAATTTGGGAAAAAAAGGTTTGATTGTTAAAATAAAAAATTTTAATTTCAATAAAAAAAAATGTTATTAACCTAACCTCACTGAACTATGAATCATAGTCATATAGTCATGGCCATCAACCTAACCTCACTGAACTATGAATCATAGTCATGGCTATCAACCTAACCTCACTGAACTATGAATCATACAGTCATATAGTCATAGTGTTTGACTTTTTTTTTACAAAATCATTTCTGAATGTGACTTATACTATCTATAAACTGGCAAAAATCAATAATATTATAAAAAAAGATCAGAACCCAGTTAAAATTTCAATTTGAAATTTTCAAATACAAAAACAAAGCAGAAAAATAGAAACATCATGAATCATATATATTTCTTATGTATGACTTACCTGCACCATATGCGTCGCCAAGCACATTGATCGATGTTCGTATTCGGTCTCTGTGTATATATTGGGATAAACGAAACAAAAATAAAAAAAATGAAACATTTTAAAATCGATTTTTTTCAAAAATAACAACAACAAAAATCTATAAACACGCAATTGAAATTGTATTCATAAATCAAAAAAAAAATTGTTTTCTATTTCGACTCAAATAGGTTCAGTAGAAATTAATAAATTTTTTTTTTTAAAAAAAAGTAAAAAAATATCCAGAAATTCAAAAGAGATTTACTCATTCGATTTTAGGTGACAATTCCTAACAGCAAAATAAATAATGATGATGATAAAACGAAAACGTAAACGAACGCAATGAACGAAATTAATGTATAATTCATCATCATCATCATCATCAATTAAAGTTTCTTGATGTTTATAATCACTATATTGTGTATGCCTTATAATAATAATTTACGTGCATAGCATTTTATTTACACACATAAAAATTTATTGAAGTAAAAAAAAGTGAACACACACATTAATCTTCAATAAATCTTTTTTCACTGGTGTTCTGTTTTGGTGTTCTTTTAGTGTAAATTCACATCACTAAAATGAAAAGAAAATAATAATAATTTATATTGGAATCAAGAGAATATAACATGTAATAACATTCATCTTCTTCTTTTTGTTGTTGGCTACATTCATCATTCAACAAGAATTATGTAACAAAATTTGTGAATTTTTTTTTTGCTGTTGCTAATGTCATTGTCATTGTCGTGTTGTTTTTTTTTTGAAAATTTTCTTGAGGGAAGGGAGTGAGGAAGAGTATACTTACAGAAACCAATCGACAGCAATAATCATTGAAATATCTTTAGTTGGTAAACCTAATGCTGTTAATACCAATAACATTGTAACCAGACCGGCTGACGGCACCGACGCAGCACCAATTGATGCTGCTGTCGAGGTTAGCGATACAATAATTATCTGGCCAAGATTAAATTCAACAGCATTCATTTGTGCGATAAATATTGCAGCAACCGCCTCGTAAAGAGCCGTCCCGTCCATATTGACGGTGGCACCAACGGGCAGTACAAATCTTGTTACCTAAAAAAAAACAAAGATAAAAAAACAAGAGAAAAGACCAAAACATAAGAAATAAGAAAGAAAAACAATAGAAAATAAGAAAAATTAATCGATAATCAATCAATCAATCAATCGATCATTTATATTTAAAAAAATAATCATCAAATTCAATCAAGTAAAGCAGAAAAAAACGAAAACGAAAAATGCATAAAGGTGAAGCCCACATTTTCAGTTTGGTTTGCAAAAAAAAGGATACTTAATCTTTGTCTAAATCCATTGAATAAGATGATGATTGAAAATGAAAAAAATATCGATCATTCAAAGAATCATCATCAGCAGCAGCAGCTGTCATCGATTTCAAGATATGAAAAACAATAACAACATTCATTTATTTACTTCTTCAGAAAAAAAGAAGAAAATTCCCGGGAAAAAAATTGTAGAAAATTAATTTATTTCTTTTCCTGAAAAAATTCCCAGATTCAACATAATTAGCCCTCACTTACATATGAATATTAATTTGGTTTTTCAAATGAAACAAAAAAAATGGAAAACTTTACGGCAAAGAATTTACTTAATTTGAAAATTCTCATTTCATTTTTTTTTGCTGGAAGATTTCTTTACATGTTGAAATTTTTTTAATGAAAAGAAAAGCCAAATAAATAATTTGGTAGGCAAGAGAGATTATTGAAAGGCAAAGATTGAAATTGAAAGAAACATGTGTATCACACACACACACGCACTTAAAATACCATGGATTAAAATAAAGTTTTTCATCATCATCATCATCGTTTGCATCACGAATCTAAATCATCATCAAAATTCATCATTTGTAAATGGATTGGGTAAAAATTTTTTTTTCTTTCTGGAAATATTTCTGGAAATGTGTTAACCATGAAAAGCAAGAGAGAGAGAGAGAGAGAGAGAGAGAGAGAGAGTGAGAGAAAGGCATAATTCTTCATTAATGCTTCATTGAAAAATTGAAAATTGATTTTTCAATTCAAAATTTTGAAGAAAATTTCAACTTTGTCCAAAAAAACCCGATAAGAAAATTTTCCAGAAAATTTTTCTTACCGAAAATTTTTTTTTCGCCACACCAATGATGTTTTATTAATGGATTTTTTTTCTTTCTTTGAAAGAATCAAAAATCAACAACGAAAGAAAAAAATCCATAATAATACCAAGCACACGCACACAGAAGCCACCGAAGAAAAAAAAACATAAATTATTATGTCATGACTGCAGTGATTTTGAAGAAAAAAAAAGAAAGTTCTTGGAAATTTTTTTTAAAAATAAATTTCCTAGAAAATTTCTCATCAAAATTAGAAAAACGATGAGAACAAAAAAAAAAGATCAAGTGTCACATCCAATAAAAACGCTATGAATATTAATTTCATTATAATTATCATTTTTATTATTGATTTTTGTTGTTGTTGTTGGCCTATTCAGTTGATCATAATTATCACATTTCTGGGGTTACTTTTTTACAAAAAAAAAATCAATTTTCAGTTGTCTGGTGGACATATAATCTGTTTTTTTTTTCATTTGGCTAACTCGAACCAAAAATGACAATATCGATCGACGACTATATCCACACACACACATGACAAGAATCATATTTAGAGAAAAAAAAATTCCAAGGATCATAAATTCATTCACAAACGCACCAACAGAGAGAATATTCTTCTCAGTGTTAAAAAAAATTTGAATATACCCAATGACAGAACATGAAATGAAATATTATATCCAAAAAAAAGGAAGAAGCAAGAAATTCTCAGAGAAAATTTAGCTTTTTTTGGGTTCAAAATGTGTCATTCATTTTCATTAAACTTGTCGAGCGGATTTAGCTTTTTCTGTTTTCTGTTTTCTTTGTAAAACAAAACAAAAAAGAAACCCAGGCGAAAAAAGGTGCAATATATACTGGCAGGTGATATACCCAAGAGAGTGATAAATTAAATTAGAGAGAAAAAAAAATTCTTTTCTTTGTTGGCAATGGGTTAGGTGGAAATAGCTTCCATAACTAATCGACAAAAACAACAGAAAAAATGATGATAACGAAAAAAGAAAAGAATTCAAGAATTTCAAGAATCAAGAATCAAAAAAATGATAATTATTTTCATTTTGTTTTGAGTGTTTTGTTTTGCTTTCAGCAAATGTTGAAGGCATTTTTGTTTTGTTTTTTTGCTGATTCAGTCGATTTTCGCTTTGTTTTGAGCTTTTTGTTGTTGATGATCATATCAAAAATAAAACATGAAAATAACATGCTGTAGAGAAATGAGGAGGGAAAAAAGTGACGAAAGTTAATTTTCAAACAAGAAACCAACGAAAAAACCTAAAAACCAAATGGAGAAAATCATATAGTGATATTCAATGGCGGAATAGAAACCAAGAAATTCCGATAGAAAATTAACCACAGAATAAATTCATTTCACTCTCGCTCTCTCGCTCACTCGACAGAAATTCTATAAATAAATATTCTTAGATTTTCAACAAGAATTGAAGATAATTAAAAAAAAGAAAAGCTTGAAAATAATTACGACAAATTCTGAACAAACTAAAATACTGAACCGAAAAAAAATATCAAATTCTTTGGAATGCGCAATTTCAAATAAAATGTGACCGACAGAAAAAGAAAATAAAATAGGAAATTCTGGTTGCTATGAAAGTGATCACCCGAAAAAGAGAAAAAAATTCTGTAATAATTCTATACAGGCATTCCATCGGTACATTCAATGTGTGTGTTCTCGATTCCGGAACGGTGAAACAAAAAAAACACGCAAAAGAATATTCAGGGAACCACTAAAGTTTTTTTTTGCCCGAAATTCTATTCCGGGACAACAACGATAATAATAAATTGATTCAACCGAATCGAACCACAATTGAATAATCGAAAAGAATAACCGATGACTACCCGGCAAAAACCGAACAAAAAAAAAAGTTTGACCCTATTTTCACTGTTTCATTATTCTGAGATGGATTTTGCTTCTGTAACCAGAAAACCAAACCAAAAAAAAGACGAATTTCATTCATGTCCGCCACCAGCATCATTTATTCAAAATGATGTTGGTGATGAAACACACACAATCGATACAATCGATACATTTTTTTTCTGGTTAACATTTGAAAAAATAAAGATTTTTTTCAAAAGAAAACTCTGCTTATATTTACATAATCGAATTGATTGAATAAACAATTGATCATCAGGGGAAAATTTTCAGAATTCAATTTGAATCGAACAAAAAAACTTGATCCATATTGTTTTTGAAACTCAAGAATTTCTCTCTTTGTTTGTTCATTTCATTTGCAAACAATTTTTCGTTTTTTTCTGACTTGAATCAATCAATTTGATCATGTAAGCATGTTACTTTTGAAAAAACACAAGTCAAATAAAAATTTTTCAAAATGTTTTCAATGAAAAAAAAGAAGATTGTTCATTTTTCACTTGAAAAACATTCTTCAAACAAACCAAAAAAGCCAAAAAGAGAGAGAAAAAAACACTTGAGAAACGTTGAATCAAGAATTTTGAAACAACCAAAATTGGTTCTAGGCCTGGCCAAAAAAAACATTGCACTAACGAAAAAACAACCAGAAAGAAACAAACAAACAAACAAACGAGAAAAAAATTACAAATTTCTTATCAAAACACAAAAACTAAACTGAAGAACAACCAAAACGAAAGAAAGCGAAAACAAATGTAAAGCATCCCATAAACACGAAACGCATTTTTATTTATTTATTTATTTTTAATGATAAACAACACATCATCATCATCATCATCATCATATCTAGATTTCCGTTTTCATATTTTTGACCAAACAAATTTCCGTTTCCGTTCATATTCTTCTTCTTTTCTTTTCTATTCCTTGGTCTTATGATCTAGATTTTCATTCATTCATTCTGTTCGGTCAATTCAATTCAATGAATGAATGAATGAAAGTGCAGAAAATATATGGGAATTATTTGTCAAACAAAACAGGAAAAAACAAACAAAAAAACCAAAGGAAATACTTATCGAAATAAATAAATATAGAAAGTGAGAGAGAAAAAAAATGATGACATAACACATTTTATGAATGATTATCGATTATGGAAAAAGATGTTCAAATTCGGTTTTTTGTTCTGTGTTTTTTTTCTGGTTTGATTGCAATTTTGTAAATTGTTTGGCCAGAAAAAACGAAGAAATTACCTAATAAAAACATAGTTTTTTTCCTGCAAAGTGAAACAAAAATAATCTTCAGTAGATTTAGTCAGTGGAGAAAAGAGAAAAAAACAAGATTTTCAAGATTTACTTTCTGACAACAGCAGCAACAACAGAGCAACAAAGATTTTGATCAAATAAAGTTCCGGAACAAAAAAGAATATTCTTCGAAGCTATTGAGATTTGGAAGAGAGAAGAAAGAAGAAAAGAATCTGGATTCAAGAAAAAGTGTAAAAAAAAACTCAAGATGGACACTAAAAATAATCCTGAGAAGAATTTCGTTTTTTTTCTGTGCCAAACACACAAACACAAAATCAGTAATTCTTGTGTTATTCTGTGGTGGGATTATGGTTGTCGATGTTGTTACAACTAAGTCTCTCTCTTGACGCCTCTCTATATATAGAGGGCGTCTTTTTTGTTTTTTATTGAGAAACCAAATAGAGAAAGAGAAAAAAACTTCTTAATTGATCTTCAGAATTAAACTAACTGCAGTATTTTATCATAATCAACCCGTCCGAACACAACCGGGTTAAACAAAAAAAAAACTTAATGTTTGTTTCAGTGATGATGAAGTTAACCCCACCAACAGCATGACTGATTGAATGATTCAACCAAACATGAAAATGAATTTATTGCAGCTGCAATACTGATTACCACCACCATCATAAAACATGATAATAAAAAACAAAACCAAATAAAATAAAATTATCAATCGATCTATATGGGTTATTTTTCTTTATGTTTTTTTTTATCTCTCGATGATGATCATATCAACCAATATTCAATATTCAATTTTTTTTTTATTTCGATATAACGATAAAATAATAAAAAACATTGGTCGGTCGTCTATATCAAACCATCATTATCATTTAGACTGAATATTTGGGATAGAAATAGAAACAAAAAAAAAAGAATTGAAAACTTGATCGAACCAAAATGAAATTCTGATCAAATCAAGAGTTTTTCGGTTCTGTTTGTTGATTTATTTAGGTTTCAATGTTTTACTATATTCTTTTTTTTTGGTGTAATGTTTTTTTGTTTGTTTTCTCGTTTCAAAAAGCGAAAAACAGGAAGACAAAATGAAAATAATGAAAAAAACAAAACAACGAAACTAAAGTGACAAGCACTGAATAGAATTTGAAATTGTCATATTGTCACATTGTGAAAAACAAATGAAAAAAAACATGGCAGCTAAAATTTTTGAAAATAAACTTTTTTCAATATACCTAAACTTCCGTAAACTTTTTTTTTGTTCAGTTTTAAACAAAGACTGATGATGATAATGATGGTTGGATGTATCGAATAGAAAATCAAAACATTCAACCAACCGATACACATTGAAAGTTTTTCTTTGTTTTTTTTCTGAAAACATTGGGCTAAACATCACTATTTCTACACACCCAGCCCAGAACAGAAACTGAAAAAACAATGCAAATCTAAACCCCAGATTCTGTCTGTTTTTGGTTATTTGGGAATGACAGAAACAATTTTAATCAAAATGAATATTTTTTCTCTCATACAAACAAAGAAAGAAAGAAAGAAGAAAAAACAACAAGGTTGGTGTGTTCAATGGATGCAATGATGCAAAAATGGCCATAAAACAAAAGCAAAAATCTATTCCAGGTCATGGATGAGATTCTCTGTATATCTGTCTTTGTGTTTCAAAGCAGCTGTTATTTTCAAATTATCCTAATTAAATACACAAACACAAACACGAGAGGGAATTCAAATAATGATAGTCGAATGTAAAGAAGAAAAGAGGCAAAAAACTAATCAGTATCTGGTTTTTTATTTTGGTTTGCTTTGGTTTGATGTTTTTTGGATAGTTATTCTGGATTATATTGTTATTCTTTTGTTAACCGGAATTCAGGATAATTTAGTGACCTTGTGGATATTTCCAGTTTTTAGTACATTCTTTTTGCCTTTTCTCTATTCATTATCAATTAATGATTTTTTTCAACAGGAGGGGGGAGATGAGCGGGTGGAAAAATTGATCCATACAACCACCCACGCACGCACGCACCCATATACATCCGAAATATTTCTTTTCGATTTGGTAATGTTTTCTCTCTCTCTCTCTGCATTTATTTATTATGGACAATGGTCAATAAATAATGATGACGAATACTAAGCGAAAGGGAAAACAAGAAAAAACATTCGAATCCAATATAAAACCTACACCCACACACACACCCACCCAATCATATAACATTTACAAACAAAAAAGAATGAACGAAAAAATCGATCAATCGATTGATCGATTTTATTTTATTTTATGATCATCATCATCATTGAGAGAAAGAGAGAAAAGGAAAACAACAATAAAAACGAAACAACAAAAAACAAAAATTCAATTCGTGATCGATCTTTGATGATGATGATGATGGCGGAAAAAAACGATACATTTCTTGGAATCAAAGATCAATTGCTTCGAACAAACAAAACACACGATATTCTCAAATTGAAAAATGTTATTTTCTTATCGTTTCATTCAATTTTTTTCATTTTCAGGATAAAAAACCCTCTTCATCATCATCATTTTTCCGATAGTATCGATTAATCGAATAAAAATCGATTAATCGAATGAAAAAATATCGATCAAAATTTTTGATCAAATGTTATCGGATATCATCATCGATAATAATGATCAATCAATCAATCAATCAATCGATGAATAGAAACAACAAGGTTTTTTAAAAAAAAATTCTTGGTAAATTAAATTAAAATTTAAAAGTAAAAAGTGAAAAAGTAAAAGTGAAAATTATTGATAACTTACTCGTTTATCGATATGATTATTTTCTTCAAGACAACGAAATGTAATTGGAAGTGTTGCAGCAGATGATGCTGTACCTAAGGCTGTAACCCATGCTTGTAACATACCTTTAAAAAATGTAAATGGATTTTTTCTTGTAACAATAAAATAAATTCCGGGTAATGTAATAATGGCATGTATTAATAAACCAGTAATGACTGTTAACATATATAGGCCTAGTTGTTGTGCCATTGTATACATATCTTGTATGGCTAATATTTTTGCTATAATTAATGATGCAATACCGATTGGTGAATACCACATACAAATAACAACTAAACGCATTACAATTTCATTTAAAATAACAAAAAATCTAATCATTGTTTCTGCTTCGGATCCTAATTGTCCACAAATAATACCAAATGCTGTACAGAAAACAATAAGACCAAGTATATTTGAACCATCCTTATAAGGGTATGAACGAACTAATTTATAATATTCAGTTATATTTGTTGTTGGATCAGTTTTATTCAATATACGATCCCAATTTAATTGTTGATCATTTCGTTGTATACGTTTGATATCAATACGATCACCAGGTATAAATTCTGTTTTTACATTTGCAAATGCAGCTTGTAATAAATTTTCCGGAAACATATTCCGTACTAAATCTAACATTGCATCCAATGTTGATACTTTTGTATCGGCATCTTTAACTGCTTTCATTGCTTCTTGTTTGATACGTGGATTACCTGGATGTATTAACAATACCAATACAATACCTAATATGGCAGCTAATAATGTTGTACCAAAATAATATGCAATTGCTCTTGAACCCATACGACCACTTGATTTGGCATCCAATTGAGCTAAACCAGATATCATTGATGATGTTATCAATGGTAAAATTAACATTTTGAGCATACGCATTAATAATTCACCAGGAAAACCGATTAACATAACAAAATCATCATCATATGTTGCATAACGCATAAAACAACCTAACATAATACCACATATCACTGATAATATTGTCAATACAAGTAATAGATTTTCCGCAAACCATCCCCATAATGTTTCGAACCAAGTCCTTTCCGGATGTGTCATTCGTACGGTAGTTGGCATTGTTGGATTTATTTGTTGTTGTTGTTGTTGGTGATGATGAGGTTTTATTGACGCTGTTGTTTGATTACTACGTAGCATAGGTGTTTTGGCATCCATCTGACTATTTTCCATTTCCTAGTTTTGAATAGTTTTTTTTTTGTTTAATTTAATGTAACTTTCAAACATCAACACTTTGTTTTTTCATTTATAGTTTTTGGTTGTTTAGGAAAATTCAATCATTAAAAATACACAGACACACACAAAAATACACCGTTAAAAAATTTTTTGAATTCAATGAAATAATCTTTCTGATTGATTTGATATGCCGTCGACTGATTGACTGATTGGTTGGGTTGATTTGATTTGATTTTATTTGATTGAACGATGATCAAAACAACAAAAAAAACACACCAAACGAAACAAAATAATCAATTTTGATGATGAATTTTTTTGTGCAATAGAAAAAAAAATCCAAGGCTTTTGAGAAAAAAGGATGATAATATTGGATTGATGATTTTTAGGCTGCCAATAAAAAAAAGTTCCTGTTTGTTTGTTTGGTAAATGAAATTAGAAAAAAATTTTCATTAGAAAAAATGTGAACAAAAAAAAAATAATAATGATCTCTATTAGCGAAAAAAAATGATCGATTCCGAATTGAATTAAACTTCCAAACTTTCAGAAAAACTTAATCAACTTGATTTGAATCCGAAAAACAAAGAATAACTAACTACTTTAGATATGACTACTTCAAATCAATCGATATTTTTCTTTCTTTCTTTCTTTCTTTCTTTTCTGGATTCTTTAAATTCTCTTTTTCTTTTTCTTTTTTTTGTTGATGTTGGACTTGATTGGTTTCTTTCATTCAAAGTTTTTATATTTATTCTTTTCGATTCTCTCTCTCAATCTCCCTGTGAAAGAATCGTAAAGCAAAGAAAAAACTCTTTATATTTTGACCTTTGTTTGCGATTCTTTCGTTTTTCGTATTTTCGTTTTTTGTTCAATTCTTTTCTTTGTGTTCAACTTGAACAAAGAAAGCCAAGCACATTTGCATTTTAAATTGGTTGATCTTTTTTTTCTCAATCTGCAAAAAAAAGAAGAAGAAAAACAAACAATCAAAAAACGAAGATCATTTGATTTGATTTTTGATTTTTTTTTCTGATTCGCAAAAGGATTTTCTATTTTGCAACGAAGAGAAAAAAAAACTATCCGAAATCAAAATTGTAATGCTATTTCTCTGACTGCTATCATATGATTTTTCAACATTCGTTTTTCGTTTTTCGTTTGGTCTGATCGAATCTAATCTTGCCGTTCAGTTCATCGATGATGATGATATCATTGACTTTCGGAAAAAAATCAAATAAAATTGAGATGCGAATAGGGAGAGAGATAGATTGTCAGGCGAAGAAGAAAAAAAATCGTATGAATTTTATCTTGAATCAAAAGCAAAAAAAAAAAATTTGATAGCAAAAACTGGCAAAAGAAAAGAAAAAAAAATGCAAACGAAAACGAAAAAAAATGTTTCAAACACAAACACACACACACACACACAATACACGTGTAAATTCTGGTTGATCGATTACGGAATCCGATTCAAAATCAATCAATGAAAAATGAAATGAGAAAAAATGAAATGAAAACCAACCAAGAAACAAAAAAACAAAACAAAAAACAAAGGCAAATGGTTGAAATCAGACAAAACAACAAGATATGTTTCGCTTGATGATAATGACGATGATGACAAATGCAGAATGTCAATGATGATAATCCATTCCAATTTAAGTGATGATGATGGTTATGACATTGATGATGACAATTATCTTTTTCTTTTTAAAAAAATGATGTTCACCATAAAACAAGACAAAACAAGAATCAAATAAACATTATGTGCATACATACATTTCACACATCACATCACATCATTATCAAACACACGCACACATCACACACATCACATATGTACACCCCCAAACGTAAACAAACACACCCACCACACACACACACTTTTACTTGTCTTTTCGCAAAACAAAAACAAAAAAATTACAAAAAACAAAAATCAACGACGAAAAATCAAAAATATCAAAACATTCTTGATGATGGCAATGATGAAAAATTGACAATCGAAGCAAGGAAAAAATAGCAAAAGTAAAAAAGAAACCTGGAGAGAATTTTTTCAATGTTTTTTTTTTTTTTTGATTTTAATTTCAAATTCTCATTGTTTTTTTGAACATTATGTTTTTGCTTGTTTTTTTTCACACATTATCTCTATGTATCTCATGCTCTCTGTCTCTCTCTGTCTATATAAAATTCTGGTTGTACATGGTGTCTATCCAAAATGATGGCCTAAATGTGAATGGTTTTCTCTGTTTCTCTTTTCTAACCAATTTTTTGATCATCATCATCGTTGTCGTCTATTTCGTCGGTTCGTGTCTTTCTTCTCACCCATATCACACACACACTAAAACACACACACCAAAATAGACTCTACACACACACACACACACAAGCCAAAATGGTTTTGGTTTTTTTTGTTGGATATGACTTCCAGAATGATGATGAGAAAATGTATTATATCTTTTTTTACAAAAAAAAAGCGAAAAGCAAAGAAGAAAATCGTCAACCATAGTCGATCATAGTTTGAAGGAAGAAAAGAAAAGAAGAAAAAAATAGTTGAAAGAAAATGAAAAACCTAGATATCACACACATCAAAGTAAAAGTATTCTGTTCACTGTGTGTATAAGTAAATGACACAATCACATTATATAAAGAGAGAGAGAGAGGGAAGTCGAATGGTGGTGGTGGAAAGGGGGAGGAAAAAAGCCATTTCAAATTGGTTGGAAAGAAGAAAAGAAAAAAAAAGTGAAAAACACATACACCACACATACATAGATAGGATAGGTTGGGCGCGAAGTTTTTTTTTTCTCCTATTTTACTAACGTTTGCGCTGGCGTCATTTTTGTTAATAAAAATTTTTTCTCTCTTTTTACTTTTTCCCCCCCCCCAAAAATAGCAACCAAATATTCATCCATTGGTTGTTGTTCTTCCATCATCATCATCATCATCATCATTATTTTAACCACTTTCAAACTTTCACTATATTCAGGAAAGTTTCCTTTTCGATTCATGGAACTAATGGCACCACCACTTCCACATGGACTTTTCATTCCATTCATTCATTCATTGATATCCCCTTATACACAATTTAATAGTCGTCTAAAAAAATTGGGGGGAATTCGAACCAACCATTCCAATTCCATCCATCCATCCATTCATCCATCAATCGGGGTTTGTCGCCTTGTATCGATATACAATAGAAAACGAAGAAAATAATTGAAAGAATTGGCTAGTAGCGAGTAGAAGGGGGTTAAGTCCATCTAGAATTTCCTCTGCAACAGCAAGAATTCGGTTAATAAACGAAACGAAAAACGAAAAGGCCAAAACCAAACCAGAAAAAGTGGCAAAAAATAAAACCTAAATAGCAAAAATATAGAAGTCAAATCAATGAGATGATGATAATAATGTCTGCTTGCTTGCATGCATTACAACCAAACAACAATGTGCGCATGACGCCCATAGTATTTTATATCTTTTCCTTGGTTGTTTGTTTGTTTGTTTGTCGCCTTACCAACCGAACCGAGCCATCAATTCTATACAACCGAAAAACCAAAAAAAAAGACAAAATTCTGATCCATATAGACAACAAACAACGAACACATAGTAATAATAGAGATCAGGCGACAGAATTGAAAGACACAAGGAGAGAGAGTGAAACAATGATACAGAATTATAATGGGGATAAAAATTAAAATGAAAATGAAAATAAAAAGGTTCGAAAACACTCCAAAATTGAGAAGTAGAAAGCGATCATGGTAGTGAGATATATCAAGGATTTGAAATGAATAAATTTTCGGGGTTTTTTTTGAATTGTTTCAATTGACCTAAACTAAGCCAAACCAAAAAAAACCTAAACCATTTACCTACCGTTGATATAAACGCCTTGTATTTCTCTGGCCAGGAACAAAAAAAAACAATATGGTTTTTAATGGATGACAGTTTTTTTTTCTCTCTCTCTCTTTTGTTCTGTATCTCTTTTTATTGCTATTCTTTTGGATAAAGACTTTCCATAGCTCTAAATGGCCACGCAATGAAATGACAATGTTGATGATGATGATGATGATGATGATGATGGTCGTATATATGAAAACACACAAAGATCAACAACAACGACGAAAATGGAAAAAAATATTTTGAAAAAAGAAAAGGTTGACATACTATGGCTAGGTTAAAATAGCTTTATACTTTTATCTAAATTCAATGTTTGTTGACTTCTTTCACTATCTCTCGATTCATTCATTGTTTGTTTGTTTTGCTCATCATCATTGCTGATTATGAGGATAGAAGGACAAGAAAAAGAGACATACATTACCAAGAGAGAGAGAGAGAGAGAGAGAGAGAGAGAGAGAGAGAGCAGCAAC